TGTACTCGTGACATATCTACATCCAGTTTTTCGGCTTTTAACCTTCCAGGGTATGTTTTTTGTATCCGATCATTAACACTCAGCCCCTTTCCATTTCCTCAATAAACCAGAGTGACTTGCTTCATTTTGTTTACTTCTAGAATCACTCAAAATCACAATAAAATTTCACATTTGTACAGCATTGTGTGTTCTCTACCTCCAAAAGAATGATCTACTTGAGTTTGTACGTGTAGGTAAGACCTTCTTAGCTCAGGACCTGATCCAGTCAAACATCAGATGTCCCTAAATCCCGTGACACCAGCACAGCTGGAGCACCCTGGGATTTCACAGGCAGGGCCCTGATAAGAAGCCTGCACACCAGCTCAGAATCCCCAAGAAGATGACACTAAACTTTCCATCCCAGACTGTGCATCACAGTCCTCCTCCTTCCTGCTTAGGGCGCTACTTCGCAATATAACTTAGACCAATTTCTTGGAGGTTAACCCTAAGCCCAGCCTGGGACGAGGCTGTTTGTAGAAGCTGAAGCGAACTGGCAGGTCTGTGTGGATTATGGAAAGACACAAGTTCTGCCCGTGAGCACGTCTAGATTAAGAGCTTTGGAGACTGAAGCCTTTAATAGTCTTTAAGGATGCTGCTAATTACTGATAGGGCAAAGCAGCAAGGAGGCAAACTTCAGCCAGCAAGAGACAGCAAGAAAGCATGAAGATTGATGATCTCTCTTCTTCCCCAGCAGGATATTCTCATAATAATCGAATCATCAGATGTCTCTCTATGTGCTGCATGCCCAGCAAGTGATTCTCTGAGTGCAAACCATAGAATCACAGAATGGTTTGGGTTGGAAGGGACCTTAAAGACCATCTAGTTCCAACCCCCCTGCCATGGGCAGGGACACCTTCCACTAGACCAGGTTGCTCAAAGCCTCATCCAGCCTGGCCTTGAAGACATCCAGGGATGGGGCATCCACAGCTTCTCTGGGCAACCTGTTCCAGTGCCTCACCACCCTCTCCATGAAGAATTTCTTCCTGATATCTAATCTAAACCTCCCTACTTTCAATTTAAACCTGTTACCAGCCCTCTGATCAACCAGATCCAAAGTCCCTGCAAGCCCCGCTGAGGAGCAAGCAGAAACCCCTGGGTCTTCCCTCCCCTGCGCTTGCTCACATGGCAACCCAGTCTCTGACAGAGCACTGAGGCAGCAGCAAACCGAGACCACCTGAACCGTGTGTTCCACCACCAGCTCGCTGCCTGTACAACGCACCAGGACCGTTCGGACACTGGGAAAGCCATACAGGTTGTAGGGGGTGAAGCATCTTCCAGTCTCCAGGAACCAAAAGTATGTATAAACAGGAAAACGAAGGAAAAATCACCGCACTGAATTTTAAGTACTTGTCAAGCAGTTATTATGAAACAAGACTCTGGGACTGTAATTCTGATGAACACGTGCTCCATTTTTGTGCTTTTATCCTGTGGCAGGATCTGGAGAAGCTAAGAAGAGATGACAGATATTCCAGTTACCTTTCAGACTAAACGTCCGAGCAGGTAACTTCACGTGGTTCTCCAGAGTAACCACGAGCGATAGCACTGCGTAACTGGCTGTTAAGACTACCAACAACCACACAAAATTCTTTCCTAGAACTGAGGCATTTGGCTTCCCACTAATATTTTTCAATAAGGACCATCCAGATGGAGTTGTGGCTGGGAAAAAATCTTCGAGGAGTTTGTCAGGTAACTTTTGGCTTTCATCAGCACCTAAAGGAACCTGAACTGGCAGCAGAATGCTGTCAGCAAGTTCTAAGGTTACTCCATAGATACTAAAGACTTACTTCAAGGGCTGATGTGTTACAACTCTTCTTCGCAGGAACAGCCTTACCCCGTGGCTGCAGCGTGCTCAGGTACGTAGTCCTCCAGCAATGGGAACAAAACGACAACAGAAATACAACTGACAAGACCATAAAGCCGCATCCCATTAGCTGTTTGAAGAACAGCTGCAGGACCCTTCTACACCAGGCAGCTTAACGCAGCAGGCTTCAAGTTGCCTCCTCCAAAACTCTTCATAAGACGAAATCCATCGCATTTCAAGGTTGATTTTGGTTTGCTTTCAAGCAGGCTTATCTTTTACTCACATTTAAGACAGATTAAATAAGGAAACATGGGTAGGCTGGCAGAGGCTTCAAGTTCTTTACCAAGTGTGGACACAGTCACCTCATCCTTAAACAGCTGTGATTTGCCACCAGCTGTTCAGAATCATGTCAGCAATTAGTTTATTACCTACACATTGTGATTAATTGCTGAAAGTAGTGTTCTAGACAAATATTGCAGTATTCTTAAATTACAAACAGCTTAGGGAAGACTGAAGTTAGGGTAGCTTAAAAAGCATGCCAGGTATTTTCATATATGAGATTTATGAGCACAAATTACTGAAAAAACATGAGTTTGATTCCCACATGAAATAAATTTCTCATATATGGTAAGGGGACAGTAAAATCCTAACATTAAATCCCAAACTGCTTTAGTTCTGGACCTTAAGAACGAACGTTCTGAGACATAAACCGGAATTCTCTTGCCTGGGAAAGTCGGAAAGTATCTATCCTTGGAGGCTTTCAGGATTCAGCAAATGAAACCAGCTCACCTGATCTGGTGTTGGTGATAACCCTGCTTTAACCTGGAGCCTAGACAGGGTTCAGCCTAACAGAGATCCTTCCAAGACCCTTCCCAAGCACCATTCCTATTATTCTATGAATTCCAACATGCTGTAATAGTTAAAACAGCCCTAAGATAAAGACTAGCATTTAAATATTGTATCTGAAAAGCATTAATCCTCATAAAAAACCTGCTCACTATGGCAGACCATAACGGAAAGCTTCCAACACCTCGCTCTTACATAACCATGCCAATCTGGGCCAGGGGGGAGGGAATCAAACACTATTCAAATGTAGTCATGCAGCATCCCAATATCAACCAAAGCACAAGAAAACTGTCACAATTAGATTACTTTATTGGTATCAACTCATCTTTAATCAGCGCTTCAGTTTCATCTGAATTCCAGCAATGATCACAACGAAATCAAGACACGCTTTTAGCGCAGAAACGTTTAATTAAATGATCTTGGGCATGATGCAGCCTGCAGCCAGTTAGTCTGGACAAAGACAACAGAAGGCTGCATTGCACATCAGCTTGGAGGGAACACAACAACGCAGCATGCATTGCTATCCCTGGCATCCTAACACTCCATCCTAAAAACAGCAAAGCAAGAAGTTAAGCAGCTCATGCAGGAGGAAATAAAAAACCATGTATGGTAAAGGAAATACATGAACTAGCTCGTTAACCCAGAAGAACTTAACAAATTGTAATTGTGCCTGAGAAGTAGCAAGGCAGGGTTCAAATTAAAAGGAGGAAGTTCCTTTGACAAACCTTGGACCAAGTTTCAGTTGGATTTAGTATCCAACTTACTATCCAGGACACAGCTACAGCTCAGAGTCCAACCCTCATCTGCATCATGCATCCATCTCTCAGAACCATTCCTGTAAGGACAGACCATCTTGTAACCTGAAATACCTACGGTCAGCTCTTCAAATAAGTGGTTTTGCAATACAAAACAAACCCCAATTATCTGCCTCTGGTTCTTACAGAAAGAGATGAACAGTTACTTCCTTTTTCCAAAGACACTGAGCATTTAACACATTAAAAATCTGTGTCCCATTACTACAAGCATGGAGACTGAAGTGTCAAGGAAGACTAAGAACTGCCAAGTTATGTTGCCTATACTGTCTACGTGACATACAAACAGAAGCCAACCTGGTCATAGCTTTTTTTTTTTCCCCCTTTAAGAAGGGAGAGCATCCATAGAATTCTCAAAGAACGGCTGGAGGTCTGTGTTTAAACGGTGTGCACACACACACACACAGAGGGGGTGTGCACAGCTAAACCAAGATAAGGAACCTGTTTTTTCCAAAATTAGAAACTGAACACAGAAATCAGTGAAATACAAATTCTGATTAGGATTCCACAATTTACCATTTAAGAGACTGATGCTGTTAAAAAAAAGGTTTCTGAAATTGGGGTATTCTGACTTCTCTTCAGAAGAATCACCAATAACTGTGTGCCTAGGGAAGCGTTAACCAGTAAGGTGCTTTTTCACTCAGTCTGTCCACTGACCCAGCAATTTTTATCTGAACAAAAGATTTGTTCCTTCTCTATGCAAGCAAATTGAAAATTAACAGCCAGCTAATTAAAGCCAGTGCAACACCTTGCGTGGACACTTGTATTGTCTTGGACTAGAACTTTAAAAACGGTGCAAATGCATTTTCCAGCAGTAGTTTAAATGTACTTTAATTTAGTAATTTAAATGTTTGGTTGCTTTCCAATTTTTTGATCAATGATTTCTCCACAGCACCTCCAGAGTTTATTAGGAGGAAGATCAACGCATTTCTGGACAAACAGCCTCTAGAGATCGCATTTCCATACGACCAGTTCTCTTCCATTGCTAGAAGCTACGACTGTCAAAGCCAGGCACGTTTCCAAACACACACCATTCTCTCCAGTGAAACCAGCTCAGGTTTGAAGCCTCTATCTTGTCCCAAGAAAAAAAAGTGACTGGCCAGAGAGAAATGCTTCATAGGTAAGATTCAGCCTATGGTCACCACGTGACCAGTGCTTGTTTTGGAATTTACATGGACATTTTTGTTCTGTATCTCCTGTAAGGGATGTCACTTAGGCAGTACACAGAAAATCACTGACAAGGGATCTAAACACTATCATTTATTCACCACTGCAAGTTAAAGACAACGTTTGAGATCTCTCTCTGAAATCCGTCACTATATTGCCTACAGCAAACATTACAGCTAGATGAAATTGCTCATTTTTAAAAGCAATGATACTATTTGCTTCTCCTAAAGTCCAAGAAAATCAACATTTCTTCAGCTACGTGTTTATCCAGCCCCTTCTGGGATTTAAATGCAGCATCTCCGTTAAGTCAATCCTACCAAGAGGTTTAACCAAGTTTAGTGGGACGCACATGCTGCTATGCCCACGCCAGATTCTTTGTTCAGTTCGACGGGATTTATCTGCCCCTCTTCTTTTAGCTTCACCTGTCTGAAGTCTTCCCTGACTTCTTCTAGCAGACCCGGCTTGAAAATGACATCCAGTGCTGTCATCGCCAAAGCTTTGGCTGTGCGCAACGCATAGAACTGAGCGTTCTGTGACCCTGCGGAGCAAAGTCAGAGCAATTTCAGGTTAGGTTACAAGTATTAGGTAATAATTAATTAATACTTAAGTGTTAAGCGATTACCAATCACTGGCTTACTGCATAAGGCATAGTCTATACAGTAAGATCAAGTTTCAGTTGCAAGAACACTGTCTCAAAAGCCCACTTTCATGAAGAATGTTTATGTCCTGGTGCCTCAAAAAAGTTTTCACATGCAAGTACTTAACTTTCTGCTACTGATGTAAACAACTAAAACCAAAAATAGGAGAAGGTTTTGTAGAAAATGCAGTTTTACAACGTGATCTCTGTTACATTTCCAGAGTATTGTGCTTTAGGATTAGGAGTTACTTTTGTCTCATGTTCAGAAACTCTGAATATGCTGCTAGGGATAATTCTTCTCATTTCTTCTGCCTAGATAGCATACTAAGCCAGGCTGTTAGTACAAGGAGTGGTCATCCCTCCCATACACATTTAAATTTAAACACAAAAAGCATTCTAGATTTGGTATAGTGAAGAGTGAGCAACGAGCCCCTACAGCGTGTAAGGCTTCCAAATATAAACACCTAACCCTTTTCACTTCCACTCACCTGCAGCTTCTGTGTACTGCTCAGTATGATTCAATGCATCAGAACCAATATAAAAATATGGATGAAGCCCAGGGACTACAAACGTAACATTCCCAAAGTCCGTGGAACCTAGAAACAGCAGAGATTTCCTTAATGAACCAGTGTTGAAGAGTTCCGAATGCTGTAAGAAAATGTAAGACAGACATCATCTCCAGCCCACATCTAAAACAGAATATCCTTTGCCCCAAGTACCAAAATAAAAACATTTCTAGTGAGTCATTATCCATACAAAAGTCTCCCATCAGCAAGATGTTTTCCCTAACTAGTCATCTTCAGATACTGGTCTCCACTGTCCTTCTGATCAATAATCAGTTACTGGACTGTAAGGAAGTTATACCAGCATTTTCCTTTGTACTGTTTTTTTTTTTTTTAATCAAGCATCTCCAGAGATTAAGAGACATTCCCTGGATTTTTGGGCAGTTCAGACACTTCCCTGCCACAGCCCTTCGAACCAGGCCCAACAATTCCCACTTCTCACCAGTATGCAAATACTCGGCATCAGGTTAGGGGATGCTGAAGTAGGAACAATCTATCTTTAAACAAAAACAGACTGAGTGAGGACAACTATTTCTTTTTCCTGTGCTTTTTGATTATTCTCATTTATGGAAACCTTAACAGCACAAGCACTCTTGGAAATAACAAGATCAGAACTGAACTCCAGACAAAACACAGGTGCTTTGTAGACATAAACCCCTCGATAACAATGCTGCAGATTTCAGTGATGACTTTTTCATGCCTGCCTAGCACTTTCAGCATGTTAGCTAGTGACAGTACCTATCTCACAGTACTGCCTTATCTATTTAATACCACCATCCAGGAGTAGAAGGTCCTTCACAGCAAATCAGCCAAGAGTCTGCAACTACTTCCAAAGTGTCTTTTTTTTTTTTCCCACCCAAACAAGCAATCCACACAGTATTTGTTAAAACAACATTTGAGCAGGAGGAGAAGTCACCATACCAGCTATTGTGAAATTCAGATACCAGAGGAAGCACCATTTCTTAGTGGGGAAAGATAGGAATGACTAACTAGGAACTCAATTAACCATTTTTGGGCCAATCAGAGCTGTGAAAATTTTTTTCTTCGGTGATGGCATATAAAATGACTGTTCCAAAAATTTAAAATTATTTGTAACACATCAAGTAGCCTCCATATAGCGCTAATTTATGGACAGAAGATATTGCTAATGCCTTAAGACTTGGCAATTAAATGATTGAAGAATATAGATTTTACTTGGAAGCATATAGTTATGAAAAGGGAATCCACAGAGGTTACATTAAGTGATCAAAGAGGACAGGGCTAGCTTGCTATTTGCTCTGCCTACAGACAAATGGAAGCAGCAAGGCCTGTCCAAAAACAGTCTTTTCCCATAAATTCAGTATGCATCTGAAGAAAATCTAGCTTTTGGCACAGAAACAATTTTTTAAAATTTTCACTAGTTTACACTACTGATCCATTCTTTGCTCAGTCTGGAAAGACAAAACAGAAGTCTGGAAGTTGTGCCTACCCCAGACTAAACCCAGTTATTAAGTCCTAATACAAACACTGCTGAGGAGATTGTCAGCCTTTTCCCTGCTCTCACTCGGCAAATGAAGCATTATGAATTTCACTGCACCCCACACCTCTCAACTCCACCTAAATTTATATCCGTACCTAATCTACTACCAGTTTACAAGTTAATTTTTGCTGAATGCAAGGGATTTAAACTTGGTGTTTTCTGGTTAGATGTAGAGCTTGTCAAGCCAAAAATCCAGGCAGCTTTTAATAAAAGTGCAACAGTCATATCTTCCCCTCTATCAGAAAAAAAGTTACACCCTTTAGTGGTAATAACCTAGAGGCGTATTTTTTAAGTATCAGATGTTCCAACGGCTTCCATATAAACATCTAGAAGTGTATGCTTGCTAGATACATACAGGTTGGGATTCCTTCTAGAAGTGTAAGTAATTGCAGTTATCAATGGAACATATACAGACTTGTGCCCTTTCTTCAATAGAAAGGTACTGGGAGATCCAGTCCCTCAAAAATATATCCTGAAGCAGATACTGAAGCCTCTTCAAGTCACTGAGCATGTAAAGAAAGACAGCATTGTCACAAACATGAACAGATGGGAAAATGCAAAATACTCCAGGAGGCATTTATAGACAGCCCCATGCTTCAAAAGTGATGTTTTCAAAACACACCAGCTCCTTCTTGTGATTGTCTGTATCAGTCCTGCGCACTATGAACCTCACGGATGCTAAAAACACCGGAGTAAGTTACCACAAGTGTGGGTGCCCCAGCTAAGGCACACTAAGCCACCCGCCTCGGGAGCTTACCAAAGCCCCGGAGCAGAGCCAACCTACCAGCAGAAGGAGAAACTGGTCAGGGCACCTAGTCAAAGCTAACTCAGATTCACATCATCCTGGCTGCAGGCCACACGAGCGGAGCGTGCACGAGGCACACAGGAGGTAGTGTGATTTGACGAGCTAAAGGAATTCTTCAAAACGCTTAGCTGCCTAGAGCGATACCTGGAAGCAGACCGATACTAATACCCATGTAGAGGTGGCAGCGAGTACGCTCATCTCTTAACGACTTTTCTGCTGCACAGACATGGAGAAGCAACTGAGCTATCTTCCTTCCCTTTCAACAGAAGAAACTGATATCCTAAAAGAAAACATTGAAAACCATATGAAAACTAAACAGAAATAGAGGTCTTGAAAAAGATGAGACAAACACTTAACCCCTCCCAAAAAGGGTAGCATACAAAATTCCGCTCCTATGTCTCTGGAGACTGCTTTGTTATCACTCCTGAATCCCCACTGCAAAAAAAAAAAAAAAAAAAAAAAAAGAGGCAGAGAAGCAACTGTGTAAAGAAAATTCAGTAAGGCCTATTGCCGTATGCAATACAAACATTAATTGCTCAAGCACGTTTTGACATTCAACAAGCAATTTAAGGACAGAACAGGCACATGGAGAGTTTCAGTTTAAGCAAGCTGATGTTTAGCATTTAGCATATCATGTAACTTACATATGAAAGAGCATTATTACAGTTAAGTGTCTGTACTAAATCCAAAGTCCTCTGAACCAGCAGGATCACCAGTATTCATCTACACCCTTAATACAACGCTTTGAAGGAAGCAACTAGCAGAGCTCCATAAAGTTTTACTACAGTAAATATTCTAAATCAGGTTTTGCAGCTCCTTTCTTAGGCTAAAAAGTCTTACTTGTACCAAACAATAAAAAAAAAGAAACCTGCCTTTAGTTATAATTTGTTTTTAAACCCAAGACAATGAACCATTTGGAGGAAAATATGCTAGCGTTGCTTTAATTTGGAAGGGAAGAAATGAGAAAAAACAGACAGAATACCATTACATATACTGTCTCCTACACAAAAAAAGTTGAGACCTCTATCCCCAAACACCAAGATCTCAACTATCCAAAGATAACCTCCATTTAATATAAATATTAGTACTGCAATCAAACTATATATCAGTGCAGGTTGGGGGCTGTTCTGCTGGAAGGCAGCCTTGGGAAAAGGACCCTGGAGTCCTAGTGGATAACAGGATGATCATGAGCCAACAGTGTGCCCTCGCAGCCAAGAAGGCTGATGGCATCCTGGGAGGTACTAAGAACAGCATGGCCAGCAGGTCGAGGGAAGTTATCCTCCCCCTCTACTCTGCGCTGGTGAGACCTCACCTGGAGTGCTGTGTCCAGTTCTGGGCTCCTCAGCTCAAGAAGAACAAGGAGCTACTAGAGAGGGTCCAGCACAGGGCCACTAAGATGATCAAGGGCCTGGAGCACCCTCCATGTGAGGAAAGGCTGAGAGAGCTGGGTCTGTTTAGCCTGGAGAAGAGGAGGCTGAGGGAGGATCTTACCAATGCTAATCAATATCTAAAGGGTGGGTGTCAGGAAGATGGGGCCAGGCTCTTCTCAGTGGTGTCCAGGGACAGGACTAGGGGCAATGGCCATAAACTGGAAAACAGAAGGTTCACCCTGAACATGAGGAAACACTTCTTCCCTGTGAGGTGACAGAGCCCTGGAACAGGCTGCCCAGAGAGGTGGTGGAGTCTCCTTCCCTGGAGACTTTCAAAAGCCGCCTGGACTTGTTCCTGTGTGATCTACTCTAGGTGATCCTGCTCTGGCAGGGGGGCTGGAGTAGATGATCTCTAGAGGTCCCTTCCAACCCCTGCCACTCTGTGAATTGTGTAGTTAGAATAACAGATTTTTTACTGAAAGCCATCTTTCCCTTCTAACCAAAGGAAAAATGTATAACATAAGTGGAGTAAAAATATTTATATGCAGTTATGATCAGCAGTGAAGGCTATTAAGTACCAGCAGCAGCCATAAGACTTGAACAGAGCTCCTGTAATAAGATCCTGCTAAAAAAAAAAAAGGAAAGGGTAATGAGAAACCCACCCAAACATTCAAGAATTCACCCTCCTAAGAAACCAATAAAGTAAAATAGTTCGAGACATAGGCAAGACCCAGAAGTGACCACCTACTTGAATGGCACCCTTTGGAACACTAATCTGTTGAACTCGTGACCTAAAATTAGAGTCAGAATTACCTGTTAATGGAATGAGGCTTACATTAGTGTTACTGAGATGCTTAAACTTCCACTTCAAAATATCTTCAAAAGCTCTCTAAAATATTAGTTAGACGCTAGTTATGTTCACATGTAAGCTTGGAAAATATTATTAAACAAGGTTCTTAAGTGCTATATATCTTCATTCATAGCATAAACCAGGATTCTGTAATTCAAAGCAACAGAATGAGCCACAACTTATTCCACATCCTCATGTTCTCAGTAAGACAGGTCTTAATCTTCCATCCCTCCCCTCAACCAAACCTGTTTCAGAACTATGATCAGAAAATTATTTACTGCTTACCTGTTGGGAAAATTTCTCAGCTTGTACAACAAATACACAGAGGGTACGATCCTTTTACAAAAGCTTTAATTTTCTAATTTGGGTTTTTTCTTCTGACCAAACTGTGTTTAACATCCCACTATTTTATACACTTAAGAGTTGATCAATCTGAGCTTAAGTCATAACAAAAACCCGCATCAAGTTACCTGACAAACCGTTCAAGACACAGTCTTCTGATATAAACTCTATTCCAAGCTTCTTTCCATTCTCCTTGTAAACTTTCTGCAGGCTCTTATTTGGAAGCACATTATAGTAATCATTTTCACCACCTTTTATTTCCACCTAGACAAAAAAAACCCAATTAGAAATTTTTCGCCAACCTGTGCCAGTCTAACAAACAACTTAAAGCCCAGCAAAGTTAAGTACATGTCCATACTTCAAGCCCATGTCAAGAGAGACACAAGTGCTAAGTTTTTTATAAAAAAATATAGCATTCTGCCAAATACTAGCCTTGATCAAAACACAGCTGGTGTCCTGTCAAGCTTGCACTAGAGAGCCAAACTCCAGAAGCATGGACTGCATGGAGAGTATCTCCAAAAATAGTAAGCAAACATTCCCTGTACCAGCTTCTAGTGATTTTCATTACACAGAATTTCCATTTCATAGAAATCAATTCAGTCTTTCAAGTTCTTTTGCCATTTTTGTTTAGCACACTTCCAATAACTACAGCCTCATTCACGAAATAACGTCACACAGGCAAGTTTGAAAACATGTGAAAATCATACTGATGTCAAGTTTCAAAAGAGACCTTTACTTTCATTCTGCATAAAGTATGCTTTTATGAAATCCTTTTTTAGCCAGAGTGGAGGGGCCATACTAGGAAAACAGCATCTAATACCTCAATTAGACCTTAATACTCACTAGCTCACATTACTACACACTATATCTATTTTTTTCTGGTGAGCAGAGACATCTTCCCACAGCTGTATTAACCATCAACCTGTAATGCAGAGCAGGTTGAACCACCTATCTTAGCAACACATTGCAAGATAACGACATTGCTGGACCCAGCTGCAGGAGACAGACACTTGCATTTACTCAAAGCAAAACAAAGAATGCTAACTTTTAAAAAAAAAAAAATCAATATTTTCCACATTTGGTTGCTACATGAGCCTGCTGTTTAATGGGGTAGAGGAAACAGAGGGAAGCTCCAGCTCACTGAAAGAAGAGCTAAAGGTACCATTCATCTTGCATCAGGGGAGGTTTAGATTAGATATTAGGAAAAACTGCTTCACTTCAAGAGTGGTCAGGCATTGGAACAGGCTGCCCAGGGAAGTGGTGGAGTCACCATCCCCAGAGGTGTTCAAGGAGCATGTAGACATGGCACTTGAGGACATGGTCTAGTGGGTACGGTAGTGTTGGGTTGGTGGTTGGACTAGATGGTCTTATAGGTCTTTTCCAACCTTAGTGGTTCTGTGATCTTGACCTGTAGTTACGAAGTGGTCAGACCGTCCTATACTCAAGCTCCTGGGGAGCTTGTAGAGCAAATAAATCCACCTGAGACTCATGTCCAGCACATGAATCACAAGGTGACTGTGACCATCCAGCACAGATTCACAAGAGAGCAGATGGTGCAAGACCAAGCTTAGCTTTTCATGATGATCAGTCTGGCTCAGTGGACACAGAAGACATTTAGGCTCAAAGTGTTATTCCTGTCTACAGTTCTCAGATGGGGAGGGTACAGAGAAGACAACCAGACTGCTCAGAGATGCTCAGTGATATGACAAGAGGCAACAAAGGAAATTCCTATAAGATACAAGAAAACCACAGAGGTTGGTTGAAGTTGGAAAGCATCTCTGGACATCTTGTCCAACTCCCTTGCTCAAGCAGGGTGACCTAGAGCCGATTGCTCAGGACACTATCAGTGTAGCTTTTGAGTACCTCCAAGGCTGTAAACACCACAACATCTCCAGGCAACCTGTTCCAGTGCTCTGTCATCACAGTATAAACATCAAGAAAAACCTTGTTCACCACGAGTTAGAGCACTGTTGAGAGAGGTTGTAGAATTCAATTCTTGGAGTTACTCAGAAATCCACATGGCACTGAGTAATCTGCTCTAAGTGGCCCTGCTCTGAACAAAAAGTTAGACTAGGTGACATCTGGACATCCCTCCCAACCTACATTATTCTATGATTCTGTGGTATCCTATTTATAAACCAAAGCTTTATTTCAGGACACAAAGCAGCAGAATAACAAACAGTATAATAGAAATTTTGATTTTTCAGCTAAACACCATGCAGACAAATCCTGTAAAAGTCTTGATTTCCTATTCTGGCCTACCCTACTCCAGCATAACAGAAACACAAAGCCATGAATACATTCTTACTTTGCATCCAGTGGCCAGTGCTGCAGATTTGAAGCAGTTTTCAACCTTCTCTGTCAGAACAGAAAGATCTTTCATTGAAGGGGCACGCAAGTAAAACTCTAGTTCAGTGTAAGAAGGAATGATGTTAGGTTTCACGCCACCATTTTTTATTACACCTGCAGAAAGGGGAAAGTTACATTGTCAGCGTTAAATACAAACGCTTGATCTTCAGCCCTGTAATGGAACCATTTGCTCAAAAACTATAAACAAAAAACAAAACATCAGCTGAGCATGAAATACATAAAGAACATCAAAAAACAGAGTATGTGCACAAAGTTTCTTCATCGTGTCAGATTAAGTGGAACATGTACATGTTTTTCAGCACAATTTCATTGCATTCTTTGGTTAGACATCTGTCAGAAACCTAAAGACAAGCAAAAATAACATTTGTAATGAAACCCCTGAAATTCAATGCATTAGACTCATAAAACAATCTGGCTTCCACTGAAATTAAAAACAAGATGTTGTAAAGGCTTCCCTGGATTCCAGCTCAAAGGTTTCCTCAACTAGAATGTTTCTAACTCATTTTGCCAGCTTGGAGAGAAATTGAGTAAGTTGCATTTCTCAGCAATAGTAATGGAGTAATGTATAAAGTTCACTAGAATGCTTGTAATACTTTAGAAATATTGGGATGTGTAAAGTTCACTAGAATGCTTGTAATAATTCTTTAGAAATATTGGGATGTATAACATAGGTAGTTTTAGTCAGAACTGAAGTTTGAGTTGAAATTGTTCCCTCAAGGAAATGTGTGTCAACTGTGTAGTTTTCAATTATGGCATTACCATAAAAGATCATAATATTTAGGTACTTCAACAATAAAACATGTTAGAACTCAGTGCTACGTTAGATTTCAGTGTATTAACAGGCCATTGCTTTCAATGGGCTACTTGTTCCCCTGGCCTCCTAACCTCAACTTACGTATGCGGAATAAGGTTTGTTTTCTGTAGAACCCGAGAAACCATCTCCCTCAAAGGTACCTCATGCCCAAAGAGCAATGGAGCTGGGGAAGGGTCTGGAGCACAAGTCCTGTGAGGACTGGCTGAGGGAACTGGGGTTGTTTAGTCTGGAGGAGAGGAGGCTCAGGGGAGACCTTATCGCTCTCTACAACTGCCTGAAAGGAGGTTGCAGAGCAGTGGGGGTTGGTCTCCTGTCCCAGGTGACAAGCAACAGGACAAGAGGAAACAGCCTCAAGTGGTGCCAGGGGAGGTTTACACTGGATAGTAGGAAAGATTTCTTCAGTGAAAGGGTTGTCAGGCATTGGAATGGACTGCCCAGGGAAGTGGTTGATTCCCCACTCCTGCAGGTATTTAAAAGACATGTAGATGTGGTGCTTAGGGACATGGCTTAGTGATGGACCTGGCAGTGTTAGGTTTATGGTGGGACTCAATCTTTTATGTCTTTTCCAAACTAAATGATTCTATGATTATGGAAATACTGCACAAAGTTACCGATATGTCACTGAAGCCTGAAAAGACAGTACTCAGGATGCAAATAGGCAACAAATCTGTACTTTTGGCGCAGAAAACCTATTGAGACTATGAATTCCCTTTCCCTAATCTCTAACACTAAGTAAACTAAGTGAATTAAACCACTATCAGTACTAGTCCATAACAAAAGGAACAGATAAGAGGGACAGACATCACAGAAGTCAGCAAGTAAGTAATCATGCAAATTTGCATGACATCATAACATGTTCGATCAGAGCAAGTAGCTTAATGAGTGAACAGTTTTCATGTGTCTTCCAACATATTCCTAAGTGTAACTGGATGGAGTCAACAAGTATTTCTATACTCAATTTCAGAGCAACTACAATATGGACTGAACAGCAGATCTAGCTTAAAAGTAGACTGCCTGGATACTAACAGCACTTAGTTTGCCCTGCTTCTAGATAGAATTTTGGGTTTACAGCTTGTTTAATACACCTTGAATGAAAAATATCCATATTCCTATTTAAGGGGAGCAACATTTACTCCACTCAAAAGTAGGGAAGAAACTTATCAAGTATTAGGTAAGCTCAAACCAGCATTGTTCAAGTACATAAAAGTCTGCTTAGAAATTCTAGAATTCAAGTAATGGAAACTATTTCAACTCTTGTTAGTGAGTTAACACTAAGATTTTCAGGATCTCTGAAGTCAGCCACAGCTGTTACTGCAAGCCTGCAACACAAGACCTCCAACACTGTTGTACAGAAAGCACTCCTACAATTAAAGCTCATTCTGGCTGCTTATACTTTCCCAAAGGTGTTTTAAACATTACCAGTTTGAAAGCCACGTTTATGGCAGCAGTTGTAAAAACACAGCAACTTGCTGTGATTTCCAAAGTGTTACCTCCAGGAGGCTCATTTAGATACTTAGTTTTTTCCCTGCGTTACCCACAGAGCCTTCAGAAACTATGAAGAAAGCTGTATTCAGGGTTTTAGGCTTAGATCCAATAGCAGACAGGCACCTCCAATCTTAAAGCTGCAACACATGAGTTTCAGACACCAAAACTCAACGAAGTGTCTTTTTTCCTACAGAACAATAGGACAGAGCTGAGGCTATGCCCGCTGAAACTCATTTGGGCATGTTGCACAGCAGAACTGCAAACATCATCTACAGTCAAAAGGGTTAGGGCTTCCAGGCTCCATCCAGATATCCTGGAGAGAAATAAACACATGCATTATGCAGCACAAGCAGCCAAGACATATAAAGATCATTAGCTCAGAACTTCTGGAAGTGTTCTTAAGCTCCTAAGTATTCTAAATAAATAGTTCTACGTTCAGAAGTCCTGTAGAAACAGCAAAGTTTCTTAATTTCAACTTGGAAGAAGTTGTGTTGGATGTGATAAGGGAAATCTGGGTTTATAGTTAAATGGCAGCTTCCATCTCAACTTCTGAAACAAAGAAAAGAAATGCATGATATTGAAGGAATAAGAGTCAAGCTTAACGGCTAACATATCTCATTGCAAAATGACCTTTCTACTTCAAGGGCTACTAGACAAGTATTAGAATCTAGCCCACATCTAGTTGATGGGGCTACTGACTAGAACCACAGGCTTCTGCCATCACTTGTGTTTTGGACTTCAGCAAATAAAACTTCAATCACTCTAGACCACTACACCGTTCCTTAAAGGTCAGTATAAATGCAATCTAATCAATGGAATGCCTATTATAAAAATGATTCAGTAATACTTTATTTTTCAGAAGCATTTAAGATCACACGTTTGCAAAAATACGTACATAAACTTTAAGGAATTCAAGGCCATGTAGCAAAAAAAGTGGAAAGAGTTAATTTTTTCTAGCTTCTACCTAGGTACCGTGTCCTCCTTTGCATGTGACCCATAATCCTCTTTTCAGAAGTTAGTTCTAGACACTCACATAATTTTAAATATTACAGACACTATTTAAATGAAATGGTGCTATTTCATAGTATTTGAATTGACTAATTTAGTGCAATAATGCTGTATTTTAAGCTGTGGGATTTTGTGAGTTAGTATTTCAACAGCCTAAACTCTTACTTGCTGGACATTAGATTTAATGAATATCTCACCATGAACTCTCCAGGTCGGTTTCATTTGCTGTCTTAAAACAGACAGATTGTTGTATGCAAGAACAGCAGCATCTAATGCATTAACTCCTTCCCAAGGATAAGCAGCAGCATGAGAAGCTTTTCCATAGTATTTCACAGTCACGCTAGGAAATAAAAGGCATTGCTTATTTGTTTTTCATTCACTGAAAAATCCTCCAAAATAAAAAGTTCCTTTTGTTGACACAAGTATTTGTTAAGCTCAAGTTTTGTGCAGCAGAACATCAAGCAATTTACCTGGCACTACACTGTTGCCAAGTGAACGATCTTTGAGTGCAGGAAGGTGCTGAAAGATTCCTATAAAACTAGTGAAATGGAATAATATCAAGAGCCAATCAGGCAAAAGAGCTATCGGTAACATATCACTATACAGCTTTTTCCTGAGAAGTACAGGCTTCATGTACTCATGAAATGCCTCCAACATCTTTCTATACGTCCTGACTGTTCCAAGGCTTTAAGTTACCAACAGTCTTCTCAGAGGATAAAAAACCCTTTTCCCTGATTCAAAATTAGAAGTTGATTGTCCTCATTCTTGTCAAACTTCAGTAAAATGTGTACAGTACATAAAACAGCAAAAGCACATTATTAAGATCACATACAAGCCATGTCTAAATAACAAAAGTCAAGTTCTGAAATTGCAGTAAAGGCACAACCTAGTATTAAAAAAAAAAAAAACACATTATCACACTGCAGAGAGTACACGCCTCAAAAATGCTGGTAGAAAGGCTGGCAGTAAGGAAGAAATCTAGTGCAAAGGTTACTCTCCAACTTTGTACAGGTCAAAATACTGCACCTAAACACATCTAGTAAGAACTCACACTTGACTTCATCTTGTGAGGGCCATTTATCTTACAAAGTCTTACAAAGCAATTCAGTATTTCGAATTATATGAAAACTCTTTACACGAGAGGCAAATATTAAATACTAACAACTACATAAGGTATTACTTATCAAATGACACGTGTATTAGTTTTATCAGTACTAGAAATTTTAACTAAATCTGTTTGTACTCAATGCCCAGTCCTTTACATAAACTCCATCCTCGAGCTCAGAGTTCCCCCCTGAGACACACAACCTGTCTTCTACCCAGTTGGGACCAGTCTAACTTGCTTGTTCCTGTCTTGCACTGAGGCCAATTTAGGCACTTAACCTGAACTGACCCCTCATGCTCTGAACCATGCCACAGCTGCAAGTTCATACCAGAACTTAAATACCGGATAGCAAGGAGGGACACAATGGAGTGTACTGTTGCAGCAGAAACTGTCTCCTGCTACTGCCTGCAATCCACCCTCATTCTCCAAGACAAACATGTATCCCATCCTCTAAAGTGTTAAGTTCTATATATTTAGATTATATTTATTATAGGAATATATTGTTACATGAATATAAATGTTTCTATTATGAAATCAATATAAGAAAACCATATCCCTTCACATCAAGTATTAAACTACAACCCCTCAAATCAACTCAAAGGCAGCATGACAGATCCCTAGATGTTCCCCAAAAAATGGAGAGAAGGCAAAGTAAAGCAGAAAGTCACAATGCAATCTTTTTCCCCCCACAAGAAACAAGTGCTTCTTAAATGTTATTTCAGCACTCCTTTACTTGTACTTCTATTGTTACACAAATATACTCAGAAAAAAGCACCAGATTTTGATGAATAACTAAACACTAAGCTAGTTTAAGAATATTAGCAGAAGAATGTGGATCCTGTTTGACCAACAATAAATAGGCTGATTAAGTGAAGGATAAATTAGTAAGAATCAGCAAATTTTGGCATGTATTCACCACAGTTACCCCAGTATGGTAATTTTACTTCAGGCACAAGCCAGCTTCAGAGTCTGCAGATGTAGACTAGCAATTTAGTGATCACCAGTCCTTAAACTCCTTGGAAACAATCAAAATATCAATCACAAGTCATCAAAACAGTCTCTGTAACTCTGGGATCTCAACTAAATAAACCACGACCATACGCTGAGTATTTCAAGCTCTTGGAGGTAGTTCACCATTTCACTCAGCACTTTAATTCCATGCCTCCTCCACATTCAAGGGTTAAAGGTTAGCTAGGACTTGCATCCTACAGCAGATCATCACCTCTGAAGGGAGACTGCTAAACCTTAAAGTATCAAACTCAAAAGGCTAATGCAAGAGTTGAAATGAACAGAAGGACAAAACTATTCATGAAAATGGCATCTTGAAGATTATAAAGTCTTGAGGTACAGCAACCAAAAGCCAAGCCTTGAAGGAGATTACAATAACCAGTTAAGACTCTGAAGAAATGGAATACAGAGAGCTAGCTGGGTAAGGAAGACCAGGTGTTGCTAACCTTGCCCATTGTACCATAAAACTTAGCAGTAACAGAATCAAATTATCCACCAGGAACAGCACTGGCAAAAGCAAAATGGCCAATGAAAGCAAGCACATTGGAGAAGGAAGGTAGCACAACCAAGATGAAAACAGCTCTCAGTACATCAAGTCAGAAATGGTTAGAAAGCCAGTTATTTAAGTATTACAGAATTTAGAGTCAGCCAAACCTTAATAACTTGGAAAAAAATGTCACACTGGAGGAGAGTTACTAGTGGAGTCTCGACAAGACATTGGGATCAAGAACCATTAATAACCATGGCATATGTAATAACAAAACCTGCCGATAGACTATTGCTGGGACACAGCGAAAACCAAAGAGGTTTACAATATCAAAGGAAGAACAGCATGGCCTTGCAGACCAGCAAAGAACACAGCAAAACTCAAATATTCTAAAAGATCATGTATTTACAGACTTCTACTCTAAGCATTTGTCTAAGAATTGATTGCTTGAAAATGACTGAAGAGGAAGCCCCAGACAAGCCAACTGGCTCCATACTGGTAACGACACACTATGGTTCCCAGCATGAGCTGAATAAGACTGATGGAAATTCCATCTGATGTACTGTGTACAACTCTGGTTACGCACATCCAGCAGGGAGTACTTCAATGCAAGTCAAGTCACTCACAAGTACAAGCAAACAAGTGCTGACACTGAACAGCAGGGCTAATCAAAAGATGACATGGCATAATTTCTGAAGAGTTATATGACTAGCTGGCAAAAAACTCCAGATGAGTGAAGCTATGACTGGTGTCTATAGCTATATATTGGGTGTAAACATGAAGGAAAGCCAAGAACTAATGTGAATTTTTAAAAAGTTGATGTGAGAGTTAACAGATATAAAATGAATAGGCTTAAATTTAGACTGGAAGTTAAAAAGGATCCAAACAGCAGTCAGGCTTGGCTGGCTGGCTCTTTCAAAAGATGGAGGGCAAACCTGCAACACTTGCAAAACCAATTAAAATAAAACACGTACAGAGACCTACACAACATGGTGCCCAGCAAAGCAAGGAACTAGGATCCGTGAGACACCTCCCTCCAGCTGCATGCTCTAGAAATTAAAGAGCAGGTGTTTAAGTGAACTTTTATTTTTGTAGAGAAGATAATCACATGGACATATAAAAGGAAACGCCTAGAAGCATCGGAATAAAGAATGGATTTTGAGGACACATGCAAGCCTGTCTCAGAGCAGTCAGGGATCTTTAGCATCAGGCTGAACGCTGCACTTTGGAAGAATGGCAGTGTCCAGAAGAGTGACCTGGCTCCTCAGCTGGCGGCAAACACTTCATCTGAAAGGCACCTGCAAGGTCCCCAGCCCTAAGCTCAGCCCCTTCCAAAGCAGGTCCCCTGCTCGGGGAGGGGCGAAGAGCTCAATGACAAGCCAACCCTCCCCATCTGAACCCACTCACTCACTCGTGCTCAGCAACATCGGGCAGGTAGGCTGCGTTTTCCTGCGAGGGGTGCGCCATAAAAACCACGTCCAGGCCGTCAAACGCCCCGGCGTTGATCAGGTCGATTTTACCTCCGCCTTGCTCCTCCGCAGGCGTCCCCAGCACCGTGACC